CCCCCTCCCTCTGCCAGAGGGCGAAGTCCGTGAAACGACCCTCTTCAGAAGCCGAACTATGGGAAGGTTGTCTATTCTCCCCCAAAACTGTTCATAAAAAAAGCCCTGCTATCACACCGTCAACCGAAAATTCTTTTAAAAAGTACAAAAGTGAAAAGTCAAAAAATTAATCATTATTGATGAGTCCTACCAAACGAGCAAACGAAAAAAGCAGCAGAAAACCTCAAACTACTCACTAAAAATGCATACTATGACAACATCTCTTCTTTATTTATTTCCTTCACAAGACTTACCAAAATTTAGTACTACACAGAGTACGGTTATCAATTTACACGTCCCCCTTCAGTTGAAAGAAGCTTTTTAACCGTCTTAGCCAGCTGCGTGCTGACTGATCTTTGGCGTTGCCGTGTGGAGCAGCTTATCTACTATTGAAATTTGAACAAATATTCAAATGATTATAACTTTCTTCAAATATGACGAATTTTCAATCTGAAAGCAGATTTGGGAGTTTTGTGAAGAGCTTTTTCTAATCAGTATTGAAATTACAAAAATTTATAAGAAATAACAAATTTAGATCGATTAACGAGGAAAATTCATGATGAGCACGAGTTTTTACACTTTCCGAGGCCGTAACTTGCTCCCTTTTCATCATCCCGGAAAGTTAATATGTCAGACAAAACTAGAAGATTTTCTCTATCAAATGGTTGCTAAAGCAGCTTTATATGTCCACTATTTAAAAAATGGCCACGTTGAGGATTTTTGCAAAATTAACGAGGAAAATTTGCGATGAGTGCGAGTTTTTACGCTTTCCAAGGCCATAACTACGTTCAAACCCATCCAATCTGAAAAGTAAATACGTCAGCATAAACTAGAAGAATTGCACTTACTAGGACTGCTAAAAACGTCCACAATTTAAAAAATGGCCACGTTGAGGATTTTGCCCGAGTACCGCCGAAAGTCACTTTTTCGCTGCATTAGCACTACTCCAACGACTATAGCTCCTTTCAGAGGCAATTATACACTAAAGTAGGAGCAGATTCGAAATCCTCTTTCTTTTCTCTTTCCAAAAAGTGTAAAATTGTTTAGCGTGTCTTAACTTTAACGATTACATGCTTGTGAATTTGACGCTGAAGGCTGCATTTCTTGCTCAATAGTGTACTCCTCCATGTAATCTCACACAGACCCTTTCAGGATCCTCTTAATTTTTCTCTGAATTGAGAGTTTTTCTCTCAAGAGCCGTAGTTAAAGCGCGCGCAACTAACTGGGCCCACTCTGGTATGCGCCGTGTGCTTCACATCCCTTGAGATTCGAGGACTCACCTGAAAGATAAAATATCCGTTGGAAAACGTGCGAATTTTGGATTTTTTGACTTGTTAGTGATAGTTTAAAGATAAAACTCTGAGGTAGTGAAAAATCACTACGCGCACACCTCTGAATCACGAAAATTTTATGTGGGCGGAACAGCATTGGTACTGGAAGTCCTCTGGCCTTCCATGGCATCGACTCGATCCCTGATGTTTGTCCTCCGACAGTGGTGCATCAATCCGGCCCGATCCCTTCCTCCCAGCGGGCCCCCCCCCCCCTGCGACGTGTCGAGGATTCCTCAACGCACACTTGACCCTGGGTACAAAGACCGATATGGCTTTCGTAACAAAGCAATTCAACTGCCCACGAAAAGAAATCTGCTGTTGAAGAAATATGAAAATACTCTGTAGTTCTTGAAGTAGTTTTGTACCATCAAAAATGTTCTTGAATTTCGAGTGGATGATATGCTTCTTCAAAATAGAGACCTGGAAACCTCGCACTACTTTCCCGGACAACCTAATAACAACGAAATAATCAATACGTAAGAATAGTATTTCACAGCACACGAGCAAAAGAGAGGATCTTCGCTTGAAAAGGCAAGTATTAAGAACGGCTACGTTGCTCTATAATCTTTATCTTGTCAACTTTTGTTCTTTATAATTTTATTCCTGCTTTTCTCTCAATGAAATAAATTAGTTTCTGCCGTTCCAATTAGTTCAGTATTAGACGGATAACCGAGTCCCAGATAGCAACGCCTGCTGAGTAACAAATAACAAACAGTAAATAGCAATCAGAAGCATTTACTCAGGCATCCCTTAGTGGTTATACCGTCAGTTATTATTCTACATTCATCAGAAATGCCACTCGTCTGAGAGCTTTCCACTGACATGATACGATATTATACCACATCTTGGAAATGCGTTGTAGTTCCCCATCGCTGATTTGCATTATTGTTGAGACTACATAACTTCGTTTTCTGCATTGACAACATCATATGACTACTGCCACATCACATACCACGTGCAGCTCTTCTAGAGCACGAACTTTCCCCAACTTTCACTCGCTGTCCCTTCACCATTTTTTCACAAAGCCCTTTTTAGGCGCTATCGCAAGATACGGGGGCATTGTGAACGACAATGCATTTAAAACCGCCTGTAACATATTCGTTTTTTTTGCTGAAAAAACCATAAAACCAACCACTTCGGAATCTAACCATATAAGCCACAGGTGGGGGAGAGGAGACGCCAAATGAGCACTGCTTACTTCTCCAAAAAGTCTTCCTCCTATTTTTATTACTATTTATTATTATCCAGAGAGGATGCCCCCATATTTTGCGATAGCGCCCCTTTTGGTCAACCGCTAATAGTTATAAATTTCACGTGATTCATCAGAGGTAGTGCAATCATCATGTTTTCTCCCTTCCTCGATGCTTTCCTACACTTCTGAGCACTGTTATTAACGTCTGGAGTCATGCTCTTTGAATCATTAGTTGTAATTCCCGTTTTCAAAAAGGTTTAGCATAACCATGCCTTGTTTGCCCCCACATCACCCCCCCCCCCCACCACCTCTCTCTTTATCAGTTTATCTCCTTTTTTTCATTTCTGATAAATTCTCACATCAAAGAATTTACCAAGTTGAAACTTACCAAGTTGAAATTTACAAGTTGTCAAAAACTTCCATCAGTAAACAAAAAACTTCAAATTCTGATGAAAAACTCTTTTCTAATTACCTTAAGCAATGGAGTTGGAGGGGGCCATTCCATTCTGCTTTGCGGCCCTAACAATAACGATAGATAAGGCTATGATATCTTTAGCGGTTAGGAGAAATTCTTTGATAGCACGCCCATCTAAAGTAACTTAGAATAGGAACCGGTGAAATGCCCCACATCATCGACACCATTCCGTCTTTCTGCACTGGTCCACCACAGTGGAGCACCTCCCACCTCCCAACCTTCTCCCCCTGCGCCTAGGCAAAAATATCCGGCTCTTGGCTCAGGATCCCTACTCCGCGCCTTTCCAGTCTTATTTAGCCGGTCCTTACTAAAAGATTCTTTGACTGAAAACTTTGCCAAGGATCTTTCCCTTTGCAACACTAGCAGCGCCTTCATCTCGATCCTTATCGTTGGAGCCGCAGAGCGGAATGAAGTGGCTCCCTCCAACTACATTTTCGCCGATGTCGTAAATCCTGAAAACGTTTTTGCCAAGTAATCCAAAAACATAGCCGATTTCATGGATATGAACCCTTACAAATTTCACAAAAACGACTTCCTTGGAAGGGAATTGTCCACTGTACATTCCACCTTAGACTCAAGCCGTAAACATGGTGAATTGACGCTCAGGATTTCTCGCAAGAACGATTCGTTTTTCTTTGTTCTGGGTTTGGGGTTTTAAAGGTGCACTTGTAATTGTGCGTTTTTCGAAAGGGTTTGGGAACTTTTTGCTGGAAGTTCGGTAAAAATTTGAGAATTATGTCCGCAATTGAGCAGAATTTCTAAGAAATTTTGGATTTTTCTCGAGCTCATTGTAGCGCATACTCCTCGCTCGACACTGTTCTTGCGGAATACTGAGGTACACCTTTGGGCGATAGAGAGGCGTAGGGTAGAATTTGTTATGAAGGGCATCCCCGCAAGGGAGGACCGTCACTTGCGCCAAGTCAACAAGGGAATATACCTGTGATTACTGAAAGGGGATCGTGATTTAGGTGTCTGAGGAGAAAGGGTTGTGTAGAATTACTGCTCCACTTTCGAGACTTCCATATATCCCCTCCCGACCTTTCGTGCTGCAGAATTTTTAGGGCCATGGGACAAGATGGGGTATGCCTGGCCAACGAGTAATAGTAACTTCGAAGACACTGCTCAATGATCGACCCTTGGAATGTGGTGCATATCAGGGTCTGCACAATGTACCCTTTTACTGGGCACAACTTCAGCTAGGAAGTTGTCCACGGGCAGAACTTTGAAAGTAGAATACGAATATGATAGTTCTGTTGTCAACGCGTGTATTCACCATCAGGGACTGTTCGGCGAAACAACTGAATCTAATCAAGTATATAACCTTCCCCTACAGGGGGTCTGGTAATTTAATAAGGAAAACACAATATAACAAGGCTTTTCTTAAAAGGAATCTTCCACGGACCATGGACCAGTGGGCGGGACCGGAAGTGGTTTTGCGACGAAATGCATGGTAGGTACGGATCCACGTTCATGGGAAGGTTTGAAGTGAATCCTGTCACGTTCGTGCGTTCGACACGTGGATCCGTACCTACCATGCATTTCGTCACAAAAACTTCCGGTCCCGCCCACTGGTCCATGGTCCGTGGAATATTCCTTTAAGAAACTCAAACGATGGCGTTTCTCGCACTAACGGTTAATATCCGATAAGCTGCTACGGATACGATTATCCTCTGAGAGCAACTTCGTGAGCCCAACTCTGTCCGCTAGTAATTTCGAGAAAAATCCTACTTTCAGTTTGTGCAAGGGTGTGGGCAGGCAAAAAGGTTTTAACCTCTAAATATGACACTGGGTCGCATGGTGGCCCGCTTGGCCCGCTTCAGAATCTGATATCTTGGTAAACTTTTCCCAACGCAAGAGTTGTTTCCTGTAAAGCGGGCAGCGGCTTTAAAGTTCATTAAAGGAATCTTCCGCGGAAAAAGCTCCGCCTCCATTACCACAGAAAAACGATACCCCTTAGGCCCCTAGCCTCATGAGCATAGCAAAAAGAACGGAACATAAGCGTTAGTTTCGATAATACTAATCCTACACACAAGACAAAATGATCACTCTTTCCGTGGAAGATTCCTTTAAGGTATCGTTTTCTGTGGTAATGAGGGCGGAGCTTTTTCCGTGGAAGATTCCTTTAAACCCTTTGCTCTGTTAACAAGCAAAACTCCTCGTTCCCAGCACTGTCAGGCTACGTTCCTTCCCAGATTTCTGGTAAGACTGCAAACGGGTAACAAACAATTTTATGGTTATCACATGAATGCAAAGTTATGGGCAACAACCTTCACCCTGGACGGAATACAAGCGCGGCACCTAACCGTTAACCGGACTAGTGTGCTACCAGTTACCCTGGGCACCACTTACACCACCGACACGTGATACCTCATACTTAGGTGAACATGGTAGCACAGATGTACGGTAAACAAGACGTGCGCGTTGAATTCCGCTTGGGTAAAGAGTTTTTCTGCCCAAACTCAGTCATTTTTGCAATCGGGCGTTCCCATACGAATAGCGCTAAAAAAATAGTAGTGACAATACAACAAATAATTCTATGGTATTATACGCAGCTGCTGTATCTAAACCAGTAACTGGGAGATTTTCAGATTTCAGAGACGTGGCTGATTAAGATCCCTGGGGAAGAACACCTCTACTTTTCAAATGAGAACACAGGTGAATTTTGAAATAGCTCTTTCGATTGCTCATTTGGGCACTGATGCTCAGGTTTTTGATTAGTCGACTTTTTCGAATAAAACAGCAATCACGCACAGGGAAAGGGACCAAAAAAGTCTCTGCCTATGGCACATCATCAAATTTTTCTTCACGCAACGTGCCGCTGCTGGTGAAACTTTCATGGCAGAATATTCCCTTACTCCCTCTGTAGGGCCGCTTGCAGGTCTTTCTTCATTGGTCCATCCGTCTACAAGCTAATGACTCATCGCATCGACCGTCGAGCTCCAGTAGGCCTTAACCGTAACCCGGGGAGTGTGTGGCTTGTGTTGGGGCCCGAGGAGGCCTGGCGGTGCCGCTCCAGGCCTGACAAGCTGTTAACATAATTTTCTTCATTCAGTTTAGCAGCTGAGTGGTTTCGCCAGAGACGAGCTAGCTCTGATGTGCTCCATCACCGATCATGCAATCCTTCATGAAACATCTTGTGAATGGCCCAGCAACTGCCATCGAGAACGCTTGCTGAGTTCAAACTCTACAGCATGTCCGCCCGTCTTAAAGCTTTCGGGGTAGAATAACTCATAGTAATTTTTTGTAGGTGAAAGCTTCTTAAATTTTTAGCTTGCGGTTTGTTCAGTTTTAATTTAGGGCTAAAGTGTTAATTTAAGCGAGGAGGTGTGACTTTTGCTGGTCCTTGCCTGTATATTGCAGTGAGGCGCCCTGTCAACGAATATCGATAGTTCGTTTGTTCGTTTTGTGTTCGACACCATATGGCGTCGCGAATATATTCCGACTTCTGATGAAAAAGTCCCTTGTAGTGGTAACCCTATGGTCCCTATCGTGTGGCATCTATTGTGCTGCTGAAGCAATTTGGCGACGACAATCAAAAATGTGAGTCTTCAATGGCTCGAAGTCGATCCAGAAGCACTCTGCTGTGCCTAAACGGGCCCACCACTATCCCCTTGATCACTAGTCCACTCAAATCCGCGGGCTTTCGAGGACGTCGCATCAGAATCCTTTACTCCTTCCATTACAATGACATCACTTCAAATCTCGGAGCAATTTGACCGTTATTTTTAACTATTCTTTGCACAGGAAGGGTTTCAAATATCGTATAACCATTCGCGTATGTTTAGATAAATTCCCAAGGTAGTAAAAGCCACCCACTCATCGGAAATCAATTTTCTAACTTAGTAGTCCATGTAAGAGCCTACAGTCAAAAACGGTTTTAAATAAAGCTCCACGTCGTGAACGACCTCCCATTCAAGTACTCAACCCTATCCGTGCCTTTCAATCACTTTAAAGCCATATCTAAACTGGTTAATGGACCTCTTTGAGCTTAGTCGCACCCAGCTGACAGGGTTTGGAAGACAAACACAACGATTAGAATCTCGTCGATATTTCGATAGGGGGTGCCGACGAGAGGATTGGCAAACTCTTGCTGTAGTGCCCTTGTGATATCACCGAATCTATGCTTTTTTTCTGTAAATATTAGGTCGGTCCATAATTTTTGAGAACCTTTGGGTGTTTTCGATTTAAATTACTTATCTTATTTCTCTGATGTATTTATTCAGCATAGTATACATCACCATTATTACCAACATATCGCCAATGCGAGGGTGGGTATTCAGTGTCTCTCTTGTAGAATTTCATAGAGTTCTGATCGAAGAAATATTGGATGTCGATTTTGACTCATGGTGATTCAAGTGAGATTTCTTCTCCAGAAGGTGATTGAGAGAGGAGAGCGGATAGTCGTTCGTTGGCACAGGATTAGTGCTACAAGGCGGAGCTAAAAGAACTGACCGCCCGAGAGTCTCCAATTTTTTATGAATTTTCTTAGCAAGGTGGACTCGAACGACCTCAGAAAAAATAGATTTTGTCTTACTTTGCTTTCAAGTTGAAGGCGTTGCCATCAAGCTGTCACGATTATCTTCATCACTGACACTGGTATTAGTTGGTGCCGGTTCCCAGCGCAAAGGCCCTCTCGTATTCCGCCAACGACTCAGGAAGTTCGAATTCAGAGGGAGTTGGGTTTTTGCTGTCAGAACTCCCGAATCGTTTGAGCTAAGCTACTGCGGCTTGTGGATTTGTTAGCACACTGCACCCAGTCCACATCACCGATGAGTATGCTGGATGGTCATTCGAAGGAACTATGGGAAACCAATAGGAACATGATGATGTCAGATCGGGTTTAGAGCTGATTCGGGCTCAGAGCATGTGAGAGACAAACTCCATATTTCAAACCTTAGCGACTTTATCGAGATGTCTCAGTACTCTCACCTTGTCACACCAAAAGCGCTCTGACAAATAGCGCTCACTTTGTTCAGATTCCTTTTCAATGGCGCCGGATAGAGCATCGAGATTGCCAGTCACGGGGTGGTTGGAGTGTGGATTTTCTTCAAATAAAAGGAGGGAACCCTGAGTAGAGGTAACTGTGGATTGAGAGAGCGTGCCCTCAACTATCTTCTGGTTAATCCTCCATATAGCTTGGCGCGTGGAAGATCCTAATCGGTAGTCATGAAGAAAGAGGCTCAGAAATAGGTTTCGAAGAAATTGGAATCCTAGCTAAAGAAAGCAACAAGCAAACGAGATGGCTAGCCTGTCGGATAGGCGAGCTTGTGTGCTAGGTTGCAGGACATCTTGGAAAGCTTCAATACTTATCAAAAGATTTTTACAACAATACATGTAAAGTGTCTCAAAAATTATGGACCGACCTAATATAGAATATCAAAAACAGATATCAGTTCTATTAACACGTTGACGACAACGCGCGTTTTGGGTTTTTGCACCGCGTGGGACCACGGCGATTTTGCAGGCGCCGCCGCCTCACATCAAATCCGTGAATTTTGAGCTTTAAATACCCAAAACTCGGATGCAACAAAATGTTTAGAATGATATTCGATGTGTCAAACTTATCAGAAGGGACAACTGTAAAAATCGATCGAATTGACGTTTCTGGCGATGAAAGGCAAGTTTCAGTTGCTTTTGCTGCAGTGAACCTCAAAATTATTTTTGACGCGGTTGCTCCACTAAAAACATATGTCTTGCTATATGTGTGGGTCTGTACTTACTTCTACTGCTCTTTTTTATGACCAAGATTATCAGAATATAAAGGAAACTAGGAATGAACACAATTGGGAAATTCGTAGGGCTTAGAAAACCTTCGCTAAAAAGGAGCATATTCAACCATTCAATGAACCTCGCCGTGTCTAGTCATATTATGGTGTAGTCTATGAATAGATGCAAAAAATTAGAAAAGAAGTAGCGCATGCGCGAAAAAAATAAATATTTTGTGTGTGCAGCGCATGCGCTGCACACGGTCCCACACGGTGCTCAAGGTGTGATGCGCATGCGCTGCACAATGTCGTCAACGTGTTAAATCAAATGGATATATGTGAGAATTCACTGAAATTGTTACAAAAATTGAAGTAATTGTAAGTAATGACAGTGAAGCGATAAATATATAGTAAATAGTAATTGGATCGATCTGTACAATAACTAGTTGGGGTTATGTCCCATGTATAGCGGAAGTTGTGTGATGGCAAGTTGCGCTGCGTACCGTGGCACAGCCTGACGTTTCAAATCCTGGATCATATGTCGTTCAGACTAAACAAGCTTCTCATCCTCCGTAGTTCGTGAATTCTACCAGATTCATCTGGGAGGGTAAAAACATTGAAATGCTCATCGGCTGGCGCAATTTACATAGTGTAAATAGGTGAAACTCCAGTTCGGGGGGGGGGGGCCACTCCATTGCTATCTTATCCGTAGTACTAGAGAGCAGTTCTTTGGGCTATCGAACACTACGGATAAGATAATAAGTGAACGACTCATTTCGAGCGTACTTTTGATAAGGACCGGTGGATGTCCTACATTCCACACTACCTGCCCACATCCCATCCACTTTTCTGCACAGGTGATCCACCCTGGAGCTCCTGCACCCTTAGCCCTTTGCGGAGGTGTCCTTTCTCCTGGTCCAGGACCGTTCCCTTGGGTCATGGCAGGCGGAAATGTGAAAACGTTTCAGGGTTTCTCACCCATTTTTTTAAAACCAGCCAATAATTTATCGGAACGTCTACTTTAAATGAGTCGAATACTTCGGGCAGCGACCAGACGTGTCTGAGCCCTCTAATCCTTATCTTGACGTATTGTAAGGAAAAAATGGAGTGGCCTTTCCCCCCGAACTGGAGTTTCACCGTATAATATTAGGTTACCCGATGAGTACTGTCGTTTTTTCAGATGCAAAATTTTCCCCTGAAATCCCAATCTTTACATAATGTTATACATATACCATGAAAAACGATTATTTGTTCTTCGAAAATACATATCCACTTTTTTATATCTTGTGAAGTTGTTGAATTACAGAATTGCGAAGTGAGAGGTTCGGTCGACAAAAATTAGCCAAATCGGCAAATTAACTAACTTTATGTTTTGTACGGAAAATGGATGAATGCTGTACCTTCTTGGAGAAGACTTGTTCATGAAGATTTTTACTGTCGAGACGGATTCGTAGGCGTATTCATTCAATTTTTACCGCTAAAAAATAGCGAAACGTTCAGAAGAAGTCGTAACTTTGAGCGCGGTGAATCACTGGCTGATTGTTGTATATTTAATGAAAAATAAAAGTGGACACCTTTTGATGTGGACCTGAAAATCCGCCTAATTCGTAAGAAGAATATAAGCGAAATAGTACTAATATATTTATAGCAGAAGAAAGCTTTTGAATGGAAGGAAGTTGAGGGGAAAATTTCAGTTCAAAAAAGTACCATCGCTGAACAGTCAACCCAGAAGCCTTATTTTAGAAAAAAAAACGCAACTTTTTGTACACCCCGATAGCGAATTCTTTTTGCAGAGTTTGGGTATTTTTTGTCGACGGCTGTTCACTTTGTTAACATGTACCTCAACAACTTTATAAGATATGCAAAAAAGTAAACTCAATTTTCTTTAAGCAGCTGATTCTCTTTCGAAGGTTACATAGTAAATAGGGTGGTTGGTTGTAAAATGTTATTCGTTTGGAGGAAAAATATCCGTTCAAAAAGAAATGACACTACTCATCGGGCAACCTTATGTTATTGTAATTATCAGGCAAAATCAATTTAAAATCATAATAATTACTACAATTCTGAATATAATTAATAGAATGCGTGGCTCATCCCAAGAAGGGATTAACCAATGCGGTAAGCTTTGTGCTTGTTATGTTGTGAGTACTGGAATTGGTCTTTAAAAAGCTCTGATACCCCTGCACTTTAGGAAAAGCATCTATAGGTTACTGTAAAATCTACTTATTACTTCTGAAATAAATCTATCATTTCCATATAAATGGAAATAAACATTAAGATAAATATAAATCTATCATTTCTATAATAATCTACATATTTTCTTCTTGCAATAGTTTCGGATTTTTCCGCAGTACATAGTATAGTTCAGTGCACCCAAATCGGAGAAGTACGTTTTGCGACTTGTCTTTTATTTCTTCTTTCATTTATCGCTCTTACTTTCTTCGTGCCTCTTTCTACAGAAGAGCAATTGGCGGACTCAGATAGTATATTAGTAGTGTCAGAAAAAAATATCAAAATAATAAATAAATAAAAAAGTTTGATGGTGAAGATGATAAAAAGCAGCTAAAACATGCTGATGAGTTCAAACAAGAACGAAAAGCAAAATGCGGTAGTATAATGTTTTTTTTTCAGAGCACAAAAGCTTAGCGAACAATTGATGAAAATGTCAGAACAGTACTTCTCGAATGTGGTCATCATGTTCTACGGTGACGATTTTCGATTCACAACGCCGTTTGAATGGAAAATTCAATATGAAGCTCTTCGGTTCCTGTTCGACGAGATCAATTCGAAGAACGAAATAGAGATAGGGTAATCAATTTGTCAATGAAATGATGCGAGCAGAGCGATGGGAAAGGTACTGTGCTTGTTTAATTGCGGTTAACTATAAGTTCATTGGAAGTATGTTGAACAATTGGGAGGTTGTAGAGTTTGGGATTCAAATGAAAAAGGGGTATAGGAGCGAAGTGAAGCGCCAGTGAATGAAAAAGGAAAGAATTCTTCCAAAAACGCTGAAAACCAATGCC